ATTGGCTGACCTTTCTTTGGAATGCAACAAGCGCATCTTTTACCAAGACACCCGTTTTTTATCACGGTGCCGTCTGCGCATGAATCCTTTCCAGATTTCTTGAAGCAGAATCCTCCCTGGAGATGGCAGCTTGGAGTGATGGCGCAAAGATTGTCGCAACTTGGAGTGATTGTCGGATATCCCCTTGGAGTGAAGAAGGATTGTCAATGATAGATGGCAACTTGGAGTGATGGCGCAAGAAGGAAAGATAAATAATGATAGATGATGGCCGCAAATGAGGGGAAAATATAAGATAAATAAATGAATAAATGATAGATGGCAACTTGGAGTGATGGCGCAAGAAGGATTGTCATGATAGATGGCAACTTGGAGTGATGACGCAACTTGGAGTGATTTGTCTGTAAGATAAATGAATGAATAAATGATAGATGGCAACTTGGAGTGATGGCGCAAGGATTGTCTGAATAAATGATAGATGGCAAAGTGATATTATCTATAAGATAAATAAATGAATAAATGATAAATTAACAAATTCCAAAGGAGAGGTAACTGGGTAGGTAGAATGACCAGTCAGTAGGTTGATAGACAGCAAAGATACAAACAAGAAGAGTGTTGTATATGTATATGCAAAATATACGAAGGAATAAATGAATAAATGGCGATGGAAAGAACTAGGTAGTTAGATAAACAGAAAAATACATGCAAAGAAGGTATATGTGCAGATGTGTATATAGTTATATATAGATATAAAACACCAAACATATATGTAAGCATATGACATATGAGTAAACATATACATTGTGTATGTGTATGTGTGTATATGTTTGTGTGTGTGCTTGTGTATGTAATATGTATATATGTATATACATAGGTATGTATGTATACATATACATACACATATATATATATACACACACACACACTTATATGTATGTATATGTGAGAGAGGAGAGAGGGAAAAAGAAAGATATCAAAAGTTATGTGTATGCATTTTTTTTCACACAGATCTGCGAACTACTTACTCCCCAGACAGCATTTGCAACTTGCACCCTTGCAGAGGTCATCACTGGATATTGTGGAGCAAGTTTCATCCCGCTGTATGCATCTGCCTCCTTGCTTGGTGCAGCTTCTTCTCTGTCGACACAATCTCTTTATGGGCGAATGGTCTGCGAAGAAATGTACAATATACCATCATGTATTATATAAAACGCTTATATATGCACGTACATTTGGAAACACACAGGGCAAGCACGCAAACACACACACACGCATAAACACACAATCAAATATATAAATACACACAGTCACACATACATACATACACTTATCTCTCTCTTTCTTTTTCCATCTCTCTCTCTCCCTTTTTACTCTTTCTCTCTCCTCCCCCCCCCCTCTTTCTCTCTCTCCTTTCCTTCTTCCCTCTCTTTCTCGTATTCTCTCGTCCCTCCCCCTCCGTCCCTCGCCCTTTCTCCTCTCACTCGCTCTCTCCTTCTCTTTCTTGCTCCACCACCCCCTCTCTTTTCCTTCCTTCCTCCCTCTCTCTCCTTCTCTTTCTCGCTTACCCCCCCCCCCCTCTCTCTCTCTCTCTTTCTCTCCTTCCCTCTGTCAGCAATAAGCAGAACCGGATGGTTGGACTTCGCACTTGCAGCTCCCTTCCTTCCTCCTCCGAGCAAGTCCGAACCCCCCCCCCCCTGTCGGCCGTCAGCACCCCACAATCAGAAGCAGGCACCCGGCAGCAAGAGCAGTCGCTGGATATAAGTCGTCTCGTCAGGCGTAGGAAGGAGAGAGCACCAGAAGCAGACCAAGACCGAGCAGGAGTCACAGGGCAGGAGGCCACCCTCCACCCTCACTCGGGGCGCGAGGTCACTCTCGGGGCCGCACCTTTCCCTCCCGAATAAACCAGCAAGCAAAGTCCCCTTTCATTCACCACCAACCTCTACGCCCCCCCCCCCCTCTCTCTCTCTCTTTCCCTTCCTTCCTCCCTCCTTCGCTCTGTCTCCTTCTCTTTCTCGCCCCCCCCCCTCTCTCTCTTTCCCTTCCTCCCTCCCTCCTTCGCTCTGTCTCCTTCTCTTCTCGCCCCCCCCCCCTCTCTCCCTTTCGCTCCCTCCTTCCCTCTATCTTTCTCACCTTTCTTGCAGCAGACGCCTCCATCGTCACACTTTCCCCTTTGCTTCTCGCACCCACTCAAAGCCTTAGCTCTGCAGATTCCTCCCTTCCTGGTACACTCGTCCATCTGGGAGGGAACACGGAACTAATTGTGGGCGTGTCGCGTTTATCCACTTTCTGCTGAAAAAAACTAAAGGCAGAATGGTCAAAATAATGTTAAAATAAATAGGGTAATATATGTATATGGCTGTGTGTCTGTGTGTATGTATATGTATGTGTATGTGCGCGACGTGTTTCCGTTTTTGTTGTGTGTATGTGTGTGTATTTATGTACATATGTTATATATATGTCATATATATATATATATATATATATATATATATATATATATATATATATATATATATATACATATATGTGTGTGTACATATATTATACATATATTTGTATAAATAAATAAATATATCTATATCTATCTATCTATCTATCTATCTATCTATATCTATATATCTATATATATATATATATATATATATATATATATATATATATATTATATATGCGAGCGTGTTTGTGTGTTGTTTGTGTGTGTGTGTGTATTTATATACATGTTATATATAAGTATATATATATATATATATATATATATATATATATATATATATATATATATATATATATATATACATATATATACATATGTGTGTGTGTGTGCATATACATACATTTGTATAAAGAAATTAATAATCTATATCTATATATCTATGTGTGTGTGTCTCACCCTCACCATCCCGAGAGACGCAGACGCCGCCACGAAAACAATAATTGGCAACCAACTTCATAATTCCTCTTCGGATCTCCCGCTTTATCAGAATATATTCCCCCTGGCCGCGTAGAATTTCCTTCCTTCGTAGAAAACGGGAATACCTTTACCTCTACTGGGCTACGACTGGGAGAAGGCAACACCGACTGCCCTATCGCTATTGCAGTACTGAGCCAACTGTGACATGTATATATACCTCCCCGTCATGTTTTGAAAACACTTGTTTGTAATTCAGAATACACCTGCGAGACACAGCAGAAACGTGGCCGGGAAACTTACGTGTTCTAGATATTAAATTGCATGAAGGTAGGGGAGGCTAAAGCAAAATTAATTCCGTGCTGTTGGTATCACTGTTGTTCGGTTAGAAAAAAAAAGAATGATCATAATGATAATTACAGTCGGCCGATGTGTTAAAATTTTAGCCCAATCAATATTCATTAACATACATATATACGGACATAATTGCAGATCTATCAGTCTACATATGCACATCTACCGGATAGATAGAAATATAAATGTGTATCTAGCAGATAGATAGACTATGTGCATTTATTTGTGTTTATACGTGAGTGCTCATGTGGTCGGACTCATGTGTGTGTGTGTGTGCGTATATATGTATATAATATATATATATATATATATATATATATATATATATATATACATATATATATATATATATATATATATATATATATATATTATATATATATATATATATATATATATATATATATATATATATATATATATATATATATATATATATATATATAATATATATAATATATATATATATATATATATATATATATATATATATATAAAGCTTTTATGCTTAAAACGGTATAGATATATCTAGTTTAGTCCCCCTATAAATTCATAGTGAAGCTAAATAATGAAACCATTTCATGCGAAAGTGAACGAAAATTTCAGGTATGCGTCCTCTAGTACTATGAGCTATTTAGTTTAAGAGATTTTGAGGTAAATTTGGAAATACAACCCCACTCCATGTTTTGGGTGAATAGAAGAATTTACCAACAGCTTTCGTCGCGTTTGGAACGAATCCAGCACTCATTTCCTTCGCAAACGAAGCATAACTACGATATCGGTTTCAATAGCTGGGGAGGGCATGATAGGCCTACATATCTGGGGAGTTTGAGAAATATGGTAAGCATAGAATATTAACACATTTCTTGGTTGTATAGGGGGCACCGCCCTTTAAATCTCCTTTCAGGGGGTCTGGTCTGCAAAATCTTCACCTCGCATGTTCCGGCAAGAGAGAGACCAGACCCAGAGACAGTTTTAACCTCATTTTACCTTCAGCTGTAACTCCAGACGGGTCAGACTGCGGGTCACTGGGATCGTCGGGGTATTCCAGGTCGTTGTTAGCAGGAATTGCGATCGCTTACAGTTAAGTTACACTACTTTCTTTGTTTGGTTTTTTTAAATCCTTTTCTATGTACCACAAACCCACTGATGTCTTGTTATTTCTGCAATGACACGATGGTTTACAGTGCGGTCTTTGAAATTACACTGGCAACACCGTGATTTAAATTTAGTAAGCTTGCTTCGTTATTTTGTTGATATTTCACAGTGAAATCGAAATAAATGTTTCACAACTTACACTATCTAGCCATGATGGAACTGATTTGAATTTCAAAAAGGCTTCTCCCAGGCCCAGCTTCTATTGTCACGTGATGATCTATTGCATATCTGATTGGTTTCTATTGAGTGTCTACGTTCACGTCACGTTCACGCACGAATCTAATTGGCTCATTTGATTTCCCGCGCATACGTCATCCGCTACAAATCCGTCCGACTTCCCGTCGCTTTAACGACTTTTTGTCATTTTGTCGCGGCGCTGGAGGCGGAAGGTTACTGCGGCTCAAGGAAATCGTGGGTTTTATACCCTCTATAACACCGTTATTATCAATTTGCGCTGAAAATGGTATAGAAGAAAACTATCATAGAATGATGTGTTCTACCATTTGGTAAGCTCAGATTCTTTAAATTAGGTGTGAGGTTGCATTTCCAATAATACCAATTTTGAAAACAAATGATCGTCAGAATGACATTTGAGAATGTAATCCTCAACCATGTCTGCCTCGGACTCTTCGGAGACACGCGGGTGAGTGTTGTGTGCTCGGGTTGGTGTTTTTTGGGGTGGGGGTGGGGTGGTGGAGGTAAAATAAGTTGGGACTTGTGTAGTGTAGTAAAATGTAGGATATATATACAGGGGCAGGGGCGGGTCCAGAGAATTTTCTGGTGGGGGCACAGGGGTAACAACAATAAATCTGTGGGGCTGCCCACTTCACTATTAATATTGTACAGTTTCACATTGTTTTTTTTTTCATTTTGCTTTTCTTGGCCACACTAAAACTGCTGGGTGTACTTTTACCAAGTGGATGTCGGTAGAGAACTTTACACAGATATTGACATTACGACGAATTGACCATTGGGGCACACAGGATGGCCAATCAGATCGCGGGGGGGGGTGCCTCTGTTCGGAGGCAGGTTATGATCGATCTGTCGCGTTGACTCAGTTAGAGAGAGAGAATGATGGAGGGAGGTAGAGAATGATGGAAGGAGGGAGAAACAGTTGCATTATGTGTGCTGTCCAATTGCAATCTGATCACGACAGATCGAAGAGGAGGCAACCCGCTGCGTGGCGTCCCCAGCCGCCACTTCGCTGCCCCAAGCGCTGAGGGAACAAGAGTCGGTAAATGGATCAACGGTGTCTCGGCGAAGGGGACAGCTGCACAGTGTCGAGCTAAGTGGCAATGTCACAGTATTTAGATTATGTTGGTGTGCTACTGAGAGTAGACACTATATGGATATTGGTGAGTTTTGTTGTGATCCGAGTTGTGATTTCTTTTCTTTTCTTTTTTTATTAACTAATTTATTCATTTTCTAATATACTATTATTTTCCAAAACCAGCTATCATTCAAGAAGAAAGACGTATAGGTATGGTTTGATCCAACCAATGTAAAGCGGCTCATAGAGGTTGATTCCAAGGCCTTCTGACAAAAAATATCAATGTTATGTAAAGTCAATATCATCATGGATCTAACTAGACCAATAATTCTCGAGGGTTGAAAGAGGTTTTCGCCCTGCAAAGCAGAGTGGTGCCCTGCAGACCTCGAAGCAAACGTTCTTCTATAGGTTGCTAGTAAAGGCTTTATCAATGTAAATTTGTCATTAAGGATGAATTTCTAAGCAATAAAAAAAAATTTGAAACATGACTGCCTGTGCAATATTTATCTATCTATAGTGAGCGTGAAATACTTGTTAGTTTTGATTTGCCTTTGTAATAAAGCTTACATCTCCCGTCATATATTTGGGCTTCATGAATTTGGAATTATATTGATTTGTCAGAATGAATCTGGTTGCTAAACAAGGAAAGACTCATTTTATGGACAGGCGGCGCAATTCATCTTCGACCAAGTGTTAACAATCTCTTTTAAATTTAACGTGCCTGTGAGGTCCTTCTCGCATGCAAGAACTTTTAAGTCAATGCTGCAGTTCTTCACGATCTTCAGCTTGCTAAGACTTTGTTACTGCTGCAGGGGCGGTAAGAGCTGATACGCTGTGCACGCTGTAGTGAAGACTGCCTGGTGCTCATGGGCAAATATGACAGCTGCTCTGGAGGAAATTGGGCTTTTTGACCCAGTCATAGTGGTGAAAGTGTCTAAATCGGCCATCAGCGACTTCTGCTTCAATCCTACGGGCAGGAGGAAATCACTCGCAATATCTTCAACTGCAATGAAATTCTCCTTGGGTGCCCTGCGAAAGCTTCGGTTGTCCGTGAAAGACGGAACCACTAAAGCAAAAGCCCAACTTAGCAGTGTTATGCGTGTTTGTTTGTGTGTCCTTTTCCATATGTGTTTCCCTGCACACACACACGCACACGCACGACCTATTTATTACAATTGTATTCAGTGTCCGTAGTCGTGAGCCACCCTGGGTTGAAGGACCGCAAGCCCTCGTTCTGTGCTACAGGTCAACACCCTAGCCCCCCCTCCCCACCCCACCCCTAGTCTGTGTCTTTGTCTTTTTCTCCATTCCCTCTCTGTCTGTCTGTCTGTCTCTCTCTCTCTCTCTCTACCCCTCTCTTTCTCTGTGCCTTCTAGAGAAAGGAAGGGGAGCCATAGAGAAAGGTAGAGGATATATATGAAAAAACAAAATCACTGCGGCATTTTTAAGACTGATTAATAATTAATCCAAAAGAGAAACGAACTGGCTCGACAGAATAAAAAGGAAAAATCTTTCTTTTTTCAAGACCAAACTTTCCCTCTTTGAATTTCGTAATTCTCATTTATTTCTGAAAAAAAACATTTCCTGAAAGATTGCTAGAAACAAGTGAAAAGATATAAAGTGTTACAGTTATGTTTCACACAATCATTTGCGAAACTATTTTTTTCTTTTCTCAGCCTTCACAATATTTCGCGCAGACCCCTCTCCCTCCCCGAAAGGAAAAATATATTTTCTTTTATAATAACTCCAGGAAGGCCAGTGAGGGCTCATTTGGAAACTGAGATATAACGAAAAATGCATTTGTACCAGTGCTAGGGAAAGTATTTTATATACTTGATATATATATATATGTACATGATATACATACGTGTGTGTGTGTTTGCTTGTGTGTAGACATACATAAATATCTACAGTCTCGTTTCTTCCCCAGACAAGTGTCGCTGCGGAGTGAGCAACGGCGACCGCATCATCGGAGGGACGGAGGTGTCCCCACCCTTCAGATATCCCTGGCTCGTCGCATCTACGATATTGAGAATCTGAAGGAGCCCTTCTGCGGCGGGAGCATCATCAACACCCGCTACGTCGTCACGGCCGCGCACTGTATGTTTTCGCCGAAGGACAAGCCCGAACCCGCATCCAAGTTTCGGGTGAAAATCGCCGAGCACGACGTGATTTCTGAGGACGACGACGTCGAAGGAGTCACGCGGATGCTGGCCCTGGAGAGCTACGTCTTCCATGAAGGCTACACAGAGAACTACTTCAACCTGGACATCGCCCTCCTGCGTCTGGAGGAGGCCTGGACCTCACGTCGCACCCGGAGGTCCGACCCGTGTGCCTACCTTCGGACCCGACGAAGGTCTACGAAGGACAGACCGGGAAAGTCGTCGGCTGGGGAGACACGACCAATGGCGACAAGAAGTACCCGACATCGTTCGGGAAGTCGACTTACCCATCGTCGAGTGTGGGCGCAAGGAGATAGCCGGTGTTTTGATCACACCTTTCATGCTGTGCGCAGGTTTTAAGAAAGGCGGGAAGGACAGTTGTTCTGGCGACTCGGGAGGCCCTCTGACGGTGGAAGAAGACGGGAGGTTCACCTTGGTGGGGATCGTCTCTTTCGGCGAGGAGTGCGCCAAACGGAATGTTCCAGGCGTCTACACGCGCATCACTGAGCTTTTGGAATGGATTAGCAGCAATACTGCTGAAGTATCTTACTGTCAATAGATTTTAAGTGAGGGGTTTATTGTTATGAGTTGTAGAACTGTTATACACACATATATGTGTGTGAAGTCTGCCCTCCTTTGATATAAGCTGTATTATATGATTGACGTTGACCAAATAAATACATACTAAATCAGGCCCATTTTTGTTTCATGGAAAACGCTAATGACTGCGTATGAGGACGTGCAATTTGCCAAAAGAATTAGTGTGAATTGATGTCTGACAATCAGGCAGACCTTAGAAGGAGCCTGGTTGAGAACAATGGATTGCTGTCAGACCTAAAAAAGAGTAGAGTACAAGAACTATTATTTCAGACTTCAGAAGGAAATGGATAGGCTCATGGAAGTTTTTTTTTCACACATATCCTATCATCACAACCACTCGTATTTTCAAAAGGATGGGTAAGCCAACACGGGATCTCACAAGTGGACCGAGACTCCGATTACAAGACTTCGTATCCCAAATTGGATGAACATGGCCAGTTCTTTACCCAACTGTTGATAACGCAACTGAGAGGGCAGCTACAACTGAGTATGGTGTTGAACATTGGACAACCATTATGTCATCTATTATCTAAATAAAGATGTCTGGGATCTTGGTACAGAAATCAATGCGTTTATCTCTTTAAAACTACTAAAATCCAGAACCTTCCATGGGGCTTCGTTCCCTGTTCCCTCATCGGGCGTTACTCCTGGACCCCACCAGCAGGACCCCCGGCTATGACTCAAGGGTCCGAAAGGCTTACAAAGAAATTTACAAATAAATATTTGGATAATTTCATGAAAGGAAATCACTATGTATTTCTTTACTCTAAAAATGCATAATTCTTTTACATGAATTACTACATGGACTTCAAGCGACAAATAACATCGTAAAAAGAATTTGCATTCTATCTTATCCAAGATTTTTTTAACACAAATCCCAAATATGTATTACAAATGCATCTGTTTTCACTGTTGGTAGTAAGATGCATCAGCTGATCCGCTGATCAATGACTCACGTACACACTTGGCATAAGAACATTTTCTGGCCAAAGGAATTATTCTCAACTCTTCAAAGTTCAGTTCCTCTTCAATATCTAAAAATCTCGAGTATTTCAACTAATCTTCAAAGTTTCAGCTTCTCTTAAGAATCTCAACTCTTCAAAAGTTCAGTTCTTTATCAAAATCTTAACATCCTGAATATTTCAGTTAATCTTCAAATTCAAAGCTTCAAAATTTTAGCTTCTCTTCAAAAGTTCAGTTCTCTTCAAACTTTCAGCTCTTCAAAATCTATAACTCTAGATATTTCAGCTAATCTTCAAATTACAAACTCTTCAACATTTCAACTTCTCATCAAATCTTAACTCTTCAAAAGTTCAGTTCCTCTTCAAAATCTAAAACTCTTGAACATTTTAACTCATCTCCAAATTCAAGACACAATTCAGCTTCAAAATCTTAACACTTCAAACGTTCAGTTACTCAATATTTCAACTTTTGTATACGTGTGTCTGTATAGAATCGTGGTAGGTTGTGTACATACGTATACATACATCAACTGAGAAACATCATATTGGGAATGTATACAATTTTTGTTTTAACGTCGATATAACATATGTTGTCCGTTAATTCATACTTCGTAACAAGAGGAAAAAAATGGAAAAATATAAAAGAATATATATTATATATCCAGATGAAAAATGTGGATAATCGTTTTATTAGTTCATTGACCTGCAAGGCTTTTTGTATTTGTTTTCATATATATATATTTTTGTTTGTGTGTGTGTGTTGGAGGGAGATAAGTGTGAGACAGACATTAAAAAATGGGTAGAACAGGGAGATACCGAGAATAAGAGAGACGGGGAGAGAGCTTGATAATGAGACAAAGAAAAAAGATAGGGAGAGCGAGAGAAAAGTCAGGAGAGATAGAGGAAAAGAGAGGTATAAAGGGAGTTGGGGAGAAAACTTAAAGAAAGAGGAAAGAACAGAAAAGTTTACGAAAAGATGACGAAGAAATCTGAATATTTTATAAGACTTATTCTTTTTTTTTTTTTTGGGGGGGCGGGTGGCCTGTCTGGGCTTTTTTTTTTTTGGTTTTCGGGGTTTTCTTTCCTTGGGTGTGGGGGGTCGCTGGGGGCCGGGGGCTTCGTCCCCCCGCCTGCGCCCTGGCAAATTAGACCTAGGGGGGAGGGCTCGAAAACAAGAGACTTTAGGAGACAAGGGGATAACCTAAGAAGAGAAAGAGGAGACATGTGAGAACAGAGTCAAGGAGCTGCAGAGACGCACGGGTAGAGAGCGTACGCGAATGACAAGAGGGGGAGTCTTCAGCGAAAAGGAGTTTATAAGAGAAGTCATGAGAGAACACTTCCTGTAAAGTCAAAAAGTGGAAGTAAGGCGGGTAATAACAGAGACAAAGAGGAGAAAGAATGGGGAGGAGAAACAGAAAAGAAGACAAGTCGTGGAATACATGGTGATAGAGAAAATATCTTGCGGAAGGAAAGTGAACATCTTT